AAAAGCTTGCCTCGTTGTAGAGATGGACCCTTGCTCTCTTTGTGGAAGCAGTCGTATCAATACAGAGGTCTGACAAGGCCCCTGTTGAGTCAGAGCTAGAGCTCTCCAGTGAGGATGGGCTTTGCTGATTAGCAAAATGTAAAATATGTAGCTGATTTAAAGGAGAACTATGAGGGGGGAGGGGGGGTGCTTTTCACTCACCTCATAGTTCTAGCCGACCTGTGACAATGAGACTGTCACAGGTCGGCTCAGTAGATCGGGAGGTGAGCGAACACATACGCTCGCTCACTTCTCGATCCTGTCACTGCAGAGAGCCGTGACAGGGGAGGGGCTGGATTCCCCCCTTCCCCGCTCCGATCCTCCAGCGCTGACTGGCGGAACGGACGGGGAAGGGGGCGGGTACAGCTGGCTCTGCCTCTAGATAGGCAGAGCCAGTTGTCACTCACGCAGCTGGGCGGATCCCGGCACAATTGTCGGGATCCGCTTCAGCTGCGGCGTCTCAGTATATAGGGAGCTGTAGCTCGCGGTATACTGAGCCTAGGGTGACGGGAGGACGCTAGTTTGCAACCTGGCCATCGGCATGTAAGGGCCTCTGGGGTTCCCTGAGAAGAGATGGGGTTAAAGAACACCTAGTGAGATCTTGGCCCAGTTGAAGTTTCCCAGGACTGTAGACTTGGTGAAGCTTATTCATTAAGCCTGAGCAAAGGACAATAATTAAAGCAACCCATAGAGACATATCATAGTCATTCAGTATGGGTTGCTTCAGGCCACAAAGGGTCTGGTTTACTGTAGTTTATGGTACAGTTTTAGGGGCATGTTTTATAAAGCAGTGAATGTGACATTCACCAAACATTCACAGATGGTTAACCATTCCCTGTTATTTAAAACACATGCACCAGGAGTATTCGCCTGCAGTGAATATTTGATGAATGCCACATTCACTGATTTAGAAAGATGCCCCTTTTTAAATTTCATAATTAAAACCGTGGTGGGGATTTTGGAGGGTAAGCTCACCCAGAGCCAAGACCAATGGGAATACTTCAAAGTTTTTTCTAGGATTGTTATTAAGGATGAGCTCAGGTTCAGACCGAACTCCTCTGAACATGGAAGTGCCACTCTGGACATGGAACATAGACACTCTGCCCAGTGAGCTGCAGGCTGGGGAACCCGCAGCTGCACATAAACAAAGGGGTGCGATGCTGATCCTGCCCTCAGTTACCTTATAGGGCCACATGGCCATATTAGGTAAATGTCATTTATAGTCACGTAGCCATAAAAGGTCAATGATGTCACTGCATTGCACCCCTCAGCTTACTTGCAGCTGCTGGGTGGGTGGGTGGGGGGGGGCTCCCCAGCCCAGAGCTGATTGGGTGATAGTAGAAAGAGCTGCCTTCCATTTTCAGAGGAATTCTTTCTGTGTCCGGTAGGGCTCAGGTTCAGGCCAGGTTCAGCCCAAATCTAAGCCCATCCCTTGTTACTATCATTATAATATAATATAACATAATATGTCTTTGTACAGCCATATTACATTCTTTCAGAGGTATATAAGTGTATGATAATAATAGTGTGTGAATGTGTTGGGGACATTAGAGTGTAAGCTCCTCTGTACAGAGATTGATGTGACTGTGGGGGGGGGGCATTAGAGTGTAAGCTCCTCTGTACAGAGACGGATGTGACTGGGGGGGGGGGATTAGAGTGTAAGCTCCTCTGTACAGAGACGGATGTGACTGGGGGGGGGGGATTAGAGTGTAAGCTCCTCTGTACAGAGACGGATGTGACTGGGGGGGGGGGATTAGAGTGTAAGCTCCTCTGTACAGAGACGGATGTGACTGGGGGGGGGGGATTAGAGTGTAAGCTCCTCTGTACAGAGACGGATGTGACTGGGGGGGGGGGATTAGAGTGTAAGCTCCTCTGTACAGAGACGGATGTGACTGGGGGGGGGGGATTAGAGTGTAAGCTCCTCTGTACAGAGACGGATGTGACTGGGGGGGGGGGATTAGAGTGTAAGCTCCTCTGTACAGAGACGGATGTGACTGGGGGGGGGGGATTAGAGTGTAAGCTCCTCTGTACAGAGACTGATGTGACTGTGGGGGGGGGGCATTAGAGTGTAAGCTCCACTGTACAGAGTCAGACTGCATAAGACAATAATAATATAATTTATAGTTATGAAAAGCAAATAAAAGTAAACAAAGTAACAATATTGCATTATGTGAGGATAATATTCATCTTTTCCGGTCATTTTGTATATTTTTAAGACTTGTATACGGCAGATATTCCTGATGAAATTTTGGGCATTTTAATTGCCTTTAGTTTATTGCCCCCTTGAGAGGCTGCCTTGCGTTTTTACTCTCTGGAGACCCTTGAGCCATTTTCAGCTCACACATCGGTTTTATTTTTTTAAACAGTTGTGATCTCCCCTCATGTGGCAGCTACTAATGAGCAGCTAATGAGCCCGTAACGTATTCACATCAGCTGAGAGTCGGCTCATCGGGAGGTTAGATGCTCACATGTGTTTCAAGTCAGCTCTCTCCCTGGAGATGAAAGAGATGTTATTGTACTAGAGATGCATTATCCCAATGTATCATCTTATACCAATAATATCAATGACTAGATATTAAAGGGGAATCATGCTGATTCTACAGACAGTACTGTGTGACAAATAGGTATGAGGTCAGGTTCAGACCAAACCTGGTCCGAACCTGGAAGGTAGATGGGTCCACCCGCCCAATCTGTAATGGATATGCTGATATCTAAGTAGATATAAAATGGGAAAAGTCACTGGCTGTATAAATGTGTCCACTGTTGGCCGGCCATTGAACCTACAAGGGTCGGCTCCAGATATTAAAGCTGACCATACCCCCTTCCCTTTTCTTTAGATCTGCCAACAGTTATGTAGTATGAGACTCTACCTGGCCAGGTACGAATGTAATGGATTGTTCAAGTAGGGCTTCTACTACATAGTTTTGGTAGATCTAAAGGAGTTTGAGTAGAGATTGAAGCTGCCCATATACACTATATTGCCAAACGTATTGGGACACCCCTCCAAATCATTGGATTCAGGTGTTCCAATCACCTCCAAGGCCACAGGTGTATACAATGAGGCACCTCAGCATGCAGACGCTTCTACAGACATTTGTGAAAAAATGGGCCGCTCTCAGGAGCTCAGTGACTACGTGTTTTTCAGGGGTTGGGCTTGGCCCCTTAGTTCCAGTGAAGGAAACTCTTAAGGCATCAGCATACCAAGACATTTTGGACCATTGCATGCTCCCAACTTTGTGGGAACAGTTTGGGGATGGCCCCTTCCTGTTCCAACACGACTGCGCTCCAGTGCACATCCTTCCCTTTTCTTTAGATCTGCCAACAGTTATGTAGTATGAGACTCTACCTGGCCAGGTACGAATGTAATGGATTGTTCAAGTAGGGCTTCTACTACATAGTTTTGGTAGATCTAAAGGAGTTTGAGTAGAGATTGAAGCTGCCCATATACACTATATTGCCAAACGTATTGGGACACCCCTCCAAATCATTGGATTCAGGTGTTCCAATCACCTCCAAGGCCACAGGTGTATACAATGAGGCACCTCAGCATGCAGACGCTTCTACAGACATTTGTGAAAAAATGGGCCGCTCTCAGGAGCTCAGTGACTACGTGTTTTTCAGGGGTTGGGCTTGGCCCCTTAGTTCCAGTGAAGGAAACTCTTAAGGCATCAGCATACCAAGACATTTTGGACCATTGCATGCTCCCAACTTTGTGGGAACAGTTTGGGGATGGCCCCTTCCTGTTCCAACACGACTGCGCTCCAGTGCACAAAGCAAGGCCCATAAAGACATGGATGGGGGAGTTTGGGGTGAAGGAACTTGACTGGCCTGCACAGAGTCCTGACCTCAACCCGATAGAACACCTTTGGGATGAATTAGAGCGGAGACTGCGAGCCTGGCCTTCTCCTCCAACATCAGTACCTGACCTCACAAATGGTCCAACATTCCCATAGACACACTCCTAAACCTTGTGGACGCCTTCCCAGAAGAGATTAAGCTGTTATAGCTGCAAAGGGCGGAGCCAACCCAACACTGAACCCTACAGACTAAGACTGGGATGCCATTAAAGTTCATGTGCATCTAAAGGCGTCCCAATACTTTTGGCAATATAGTGTATGTGAGTATTTGCAGTCAATTTCAACCAATTTTCCTACACCAGTAATCTCACGCAACTAATTTGGCCAAGTGTAACATTGAAACTGGACAATATATTGATATGCTTAACTCATCGAAAACTAAAGTATGCCATCTTAGTCATAAGTCATCCGATTTTTTTTTTTTGCCAGATGCAGTTGGGTCAATTTCAATTCCATCTCCTTGTGGCTGATTGGTTTGTAAATTTGATAATAAACTTGAATCAAAAGTTGTTTTATCAAAGTGCTACAACCTATGGCCATTTTTAGGCCATGTGTTACATCCTGTGCCATATCCTTCATTTTTCACAGTCCTGTTGTGCTATGAATCATTCATAATTTGGGTACTTTTTGGTTGGCAAGATGAACCAGACCCAACAGTAATGGATAGGTGTAAGAGCTGGAGCAAACCTCAGCATAAGAGGGCAGCCCAACCGGGCCTCTACAACATCTACATGTAAAACAAAGGCATCCTTTTTTTCCCCCCAATAAATTCATGAAGTTGATACATTGCATTACAGACAGACACGGAGAGACTAAGCGGAGGGGCTACATGACTGGGGGGAGGAATAGTCCCGGGAGAAAGGGTTAAAAATAAAATGGGAATAGCTGCTCTTACCTGATTGGACGTGGGAGTCAGGTGTCCGGGAGGAGCCGCATGGGAAGGGACTGCGAGGGCTGAGGGACGTCCTCTTTCTGGAAATCGACGAAGGAAGCAGGTTGTCCCACCCTCCCTCCCTGAATTATATACTGAGCTTTGGGTGACGGGAGGACGCTAGTTTGTGTCCTCCCGTTATCCTTAGTAGAACTATGGGGAAAAGCCCTGACCCCATAGTTCTTTAATCATAGAGGTGATTCTCATAGAGGTGATGATCATAGAGTTGATGATCATATAGGTGATGCTCATAGAGGTGATGCTCATAGAGGTGATGATCATAGAGGTGATGCTTATAGTAGTGATGCTCATAGAGGTGATGCTCATAGAGTTGATGATCACATAGGTGATGCTCATAGAGGTGATGCTCATAGAGGTGATGCTCATAGAGGTGATGCTTATAGTAGTGATGCTCATAGAGGTGATGATCATAGAGGTGATGCTTATAGTAGTGATGCTCATATAGGTGATGCTCATAGAGTTGAGGATCATAGAGGTGATGCTCATAGAGTTGATGCTCATAGAGGTGATGATCATAGCAGTGGTGCTCATTAGTGATGTGCTTGATGTTCGAGTTGAACGTGAGTTCGACTCGAACATCGCTAGTTCAAACGTTCGCCGAATGCAAGAACTTTGTGGGATGTTTGCGGTCTGTTCGACCGCGCAACATCCCACAAGGCAAGGCAATTTCTGAAGCTCTAATTGGGTAAAGGCTTGCACATCACCGCAGGTCAGGTGCAAGACTTTGCCCAATCAGGGCTCAGTACTCTGTAAGAGCCATGGTTGGGCAAAGTCATGATGACTCTGCCCAATCATGGCTCCTCTGTCAGATGACGTCAAACTACACATTTGGGTAGAGGTAGCTGTCTCCGCTAGCTCCGCCCAATTATTTATGTTTTGCCGGCATCTGTCAAAATGCCATTATGCGGCAGGGAGCGGACGGGGTGGTCGTCGTTTAAAAAAAAAACAACTATTATTTCTATGTACTTTTTATTGTTTTATTTCGTGTTGTCGTCGTGGACAACGCTGGACGCCGTGATTGACCCTGGATTACGTCGGTGGATCCATTTTTGGGGTTTAAAAAAAATAAAAATAAAGGACTTGTCAAAAACATGTCTTTTTCTTTTTTTCCAAATAAAGGATTTTATCTATAAGTCTGGACTTTTTAATAACTATTTTATTTAACCCTTTAGTGAATGGGTAGGGGTACCCCTTACTCATTCACAAGGGGGGAGGCGGCATCTGGGTGACCCCTTAATGAAAGGGGTCCTTCGATGCATGTACGCCCCCTTGCCCACAGACCCCCACAACCACCGGGTCAGGGTTGTGGGCAGTGGCGACTCTAGGAACAATATGTAGGGGGGGCACATAAGATACAACAGTCAAATCTGGGGGGGCACTAATAATTTTCATTGCATGTCGCAACCGCTGGCCACCGATGAGCTGATTTAATTGCAGATGGCATCGGCACCCCGCGTTTGCGACATTTAGTCCAACGCCGCCCACAATCCCGCATACCGCAACGGCCGGGCGCCGATGCCATTCGCAATTTAATCTGCTCTCGACGTCCGGCAGTTGTGGAATACAGCATGGACTGACTGGCAACTTTTAGCCCAGGGGGCAAGTACAACCCAGAGGCCCATGATAACTTAGCCCCCCCCCCAGCTCTGCCTCTTCCCCCGCCTTCCCCCCGCCCCTGGCTGCCACTTTTGGCATCCATGTAACACCAGTGTGAAGGGTCTGGTGATGTGAGAACTAGTGCTGGGCTCGGGCGTGTTCGCAACTCCACGTGCCGAGCCCACCAGGAAGCTGACAGCGCCAATCACAGGTACTGAGACATTATCCCGGTCCGCAGCTGCAGAGATCAGAATTTGTCTCAGTGCCTGTGATTGGCGCTGTCACCTTCCTGGCGGGCTCGGCACATGGAGCTGCGAACACGCCCGAGCCCATCACTAGTGAGGACTCCTAGTAAGTCCATAAAAGGGGTGACTGGCTGGGGGA